CAAGTATCTATATGCTACTGTATGTTTGTATACATATATACTACAGCATTACACACTGCTACTATAGCACCAAGCATGTATTTCAAAATACATTTTATTTGTAAAAGTGTGGAATTCTTTACTGAATCCATATTTAAATAGCACTTATTTTATAAATTGGTATGAATCCCTGAAAGGTTTTGAAGTAATCCAGCTTTTAAAATATCTCTTCACGATTTGTCAAAAAAAAATATTCTTTTATCTCCAAAGATGATTGGAGTAGCTAGTGTAATTTAATCACAAATGTTGCTGTTATATATCTTATAAAATAGGAGCAAAATTCCTGAAGTTGTATAAAGCTATTCAAGAAAATCTGTAGAATTACTATAATTTTCTATGGATTACACAGGAGTTTCTCTCAAGGGAAAGATGGACTTTTTCTTTCTGGTTGAATTCTGATGTGATTAGAAACTTTTAGGAGACATCACTGGGATTTGTTAGCTTGCCAATCATTTACATAGGTATCCTAACATTGTGTGTAGTGTCCTTGGTGTGTCAAGTAGGAAAAAAGAAAAAGTGAAAACTGATTTAAATCAAATATTATTTTGTAACGTGAAGGTATGTATTTCTCATCCTCTGGTCAGATAAGGGGCTGCAGGGAGAAGGGTAAGGTTTACCCTGCTTTCCCTTCTACATATCTCAAGCTTTATTCCCCTTCCAAGGATGTATTTTAAAAGGGGTGGGTTTCCTGGCTTGAACTGCCAGGTGCTGGGAATAAAGAGAATACAGTGGCAAAACTGGGAAAACATACTAGGAGTATAAGGGTAAATAACCTCAAATCACAGGGCATTATTATGCCTGTGGATTTCTTTCAGCAAAATTATCATGTCCAGAACTGTGTTGCTGCAGCTGTGCTGCTTTCAGTGTTGAGCTCACTTGGGGAATTTGTGCAGAATTTGCCATTCTTTAGTGTAGGAATGACCAATTTTAGATCTGCATTTTTTAACATGTCAGAGGCTTGCAGGATGAAATTCTGTTTTATCTCATGCACTCAACTTCAGAATGTCCCAGGCAGGACATAATAGCTTCTTATCTCTACCGCTTTCTTCAATGGGATTTTGATTTGAATGAAAACATGATGCCATTTTGGCTGAGGCAGCCACGGAATTAATAGGATTCACATGAATTTCCAGAGTCATTTCTGAAGTTGTACGCTGAGCTGTGAAGGAGGCACCCATCTGCTTGTGTTTGCTGCTCTCAGCTGAAAATAGGACGAGCACTCACAGCACTGGCAAGAGGCATGTGGCTGCAGCCTGTCCTGCTCGGGCTCTTCCAGATGATCCAGTCAATTTTGGGTAGTGGATTAGGGTGACGTGATCCTGCTCTTTTTCTTCTGATACAGATTTTCTTATGAAGGACTTTTCAACATATGGTAGAACCAAGGCAACAGTAATTCCAGTCCATGCAAAACTTCAGTAATTTCAGTATTTTGCCCCAGCTCAGAGCAAGAAAAAGAAAAAATAAATAAATTTTAAAGACTGATTACATTCCAAGTTTATCAATTTCTAATGAAAAGTTTCATTGAAATAAAATGTTTTAACTGCCTTACAGTAGGAATATTTAATTGAATTCAACTTACTCAAAATGCTTCATTGACTGTGAGCTTTTGGTAGACTTCAACAGGTTTGTGCCCCAAGTTCAGGGAGAAACATCAACCCACTCAAATCCTAGCAATTGCTTGGAGCACTGGATGTCTCTGTCGGGTGTCTAAAAATACCTTTTTAGTACACAGGTGATATAATGTGCCTCATTCTTCCCTTTGTAATGGAAGAATTGTGAGATTCTGCCTTGGGAGAGGAGGTGGCCAGAAGGCTATGTAGTACCAGAGTATTGCCAGGCAGCTAGAGAGGGAGGCAGAGGTACATTAACGCTGGGTTTAAAACAAAAAAGGCATTTTCTGTGAGAACTTTATTCTGATACTGACAGGTGTTGCTGTAGTTATACAAAAAGTTTGTTTTACTGCAAAGGCTCTAGGTAGTGGTGGTTTCATTGCTGCTGTCTAACAGAAGCTGTCAGCTGCAGATGCTCTGAGACCCTTTGGTGCCCACCCATCACACAGATGCAGTGTTGCAGCATCGTGAAAGTTTGGTTTTTACTGCACATGCTTTGAGATATTGGCGCCTCATCACTTGTGCCTAGCACTCTAGCTTTCCGTGGGAACCGGGTCAGAAAGATTATTGCTGTGATGTGTCTTAGAGCACTAATGATGCTTCCTCCTGAGTGCTCCTGTTAAAGGCAGCTCCATTTCCTTTGTTTTAAGCTGATGGGCACTGACTTTGTCAGCTAATTGTATTTAGCACTGTTTCTCAGGGTACATTTGTACTTTTGTTTCCCTGTTCTTTCATTATTATTTTTTTTTTTTTTCTATGAGCCAACTGTTTGAGCAGCAAGTTTCTCTTGACAGGAAGGCAGGGAGCTGGGTGCTGACCATGTAAAAGCAGAGTCATTGCCAAAAGAGTGAAAAGGCTAGGGCGTTATCATTTACAGTCAGAGCAAAGCATTCCCCTGAGCATAGTGGGGATGAGGGAGAGCGCTGATGGGAAATAATGCGATAGTTTGTTTAATGAAATAACAGAAAATGAGAGATGAGGAGATACAGCTGGTAAATGGATCTAAATCATGAAGGATATTGATGCCAGCGGGTAGGACAGCCCATGACAGTAATTCATCAGTGGTTGCCACTGGTATGTGCCATGTATTTATATGGTCGCTGCGCTTGAGAGCTATTGTCCCCCAGTGTAGGAAAGCAGCAGCTCCACGGGTGTGAGAATTACTGCTTCCAGGAGAAGATGCTGCCATCCAAGAGTGTGAAAAATTACTCAATGGGATTAAGGACAGCCCAGCTGCTTTTATCTGGCTTTAGTGTTATTGCTGAAGAGAGGCTTTTTTCTTCTTTTTGTTTAATTCTTAACAGCAAGTTTGATTCAGCAGTGGGCTTTAGATGTATTCACTAAGGTGTTTTGTGATTGCATTTTGTTTTCATCTTGATTACTTACTGTGTGCCCCTGGAGCCATTTTTGTATCTTGTTGCTTTCAGTCCTGCCTCCGTCATAGCTTGAAAAGTTTCTTTGTATTTATCTCTTTATTTAAAGGAAGAGCAGTAATGCAGGAAAACGTTAATGATAAGAATTTGGTGTAGAGACAATGCTGCCTTACCATCCTGCTTTCCTGTTGTCTAGCACTGTTCCCCTTTAAGGGAATGTATTCATTTATTTTGTGATGTTTTGTACAGGTAAGAAAACATAAGCCTAGTCTCAGATCCAGTTCCCTGTTTTCTCACAGATTTCTATTTGATTTTCAGCTGAACATCTGGGCTAAGTCAATGAAAGTAAGACACAGACTCCTCTGGGAAGCATGGCCTTAGCATGACATTCCTCAGCTCTCTGTTCTTTAAAAAGAAACAACAATATTACGCCGTTTCAAAGCACTGTTGTAAGAATAGATGCATGGAGAGATTTGAGATGCTCAGATACTACATGAGCGTGAGCCATGCAGGATAGGCTTTTAGACATTTTGTCTCAGCTTGTGTCTTGTAACAGATTTCTGATAATTAGGTTTTCTGTTCTGCCGCTTTTTGATAGGGTTATTACCTGTCTGTCATTCTTTTCTTTGTTAACAGACTTTTTTTTTTTGCCCTTTTCATGCCTTCTAATGTCTTTTCCAATTGTCCCTTACTAATTACCCATTTAGACTGTGTCTTGCTGAGCTGAAGTCTGCTGGGAAATTCTTTGGAGTTTTTCATATTTATTTACCTACCAGTAAATTGTTCTTCCTTTGCTGATTTGATTAAGGTTGATTCTTTGATCATTCAGCAGCTTATTACATTCAGGGGCACTTAGATTATATTTAGCAAAATCAGCATGTTAAGCTTCAGATTCCTAACAGGAGCTGGTTTTCTGATCCTGTCATTTCCTTGGATATTCTTTTGCTGGAATCTTTTACTATGGCAATAGCTTTTTATGTATTTTTTTTTTCCTCTTGTTTATTAAATATCCTCTCCTTGAATAAAATACTTTCAGAAGGCTTTATTTATGCTAGGATTTTTCTCTGAGAGGTCCAACACAATGACACTATTTGCTCAGAGAAGAGGACACAGCTCCATCATTGTGGGGAGAAGACAAGAAAGCTCAAGCAAGCCTGCAGCTGAAGTTGTCTGCTCCATTTCAATTTGAAAGATTTGAAGTGGAAGATGAAATGGGTGGGCTACAATACCAGAGTTACTCCTGAAGGCATGAGCTGACTTCAGCAGATACTTATGCTATTTAGAACTGCTCAGTTTTTTTTTATCCCTGGTGGTGTACACTTAGGAAAATTTAAACTGTTTGCAGTGTTTTGACATATCTTCAAAATCTCCAACAGGAGCTACATCTAACACTTGGTTATAATTATAACCCAATCTGATCTATCCATAGGATCTCTGTTCTTTGCCACCAATGGCAATAATTCTGTCTCCACCACCAGTTTAGTATCATAAACTTCCAGCTTGTCTTTCCCTCTCAAAGTCTGTTCAATTCATTTTCATGCACATGAAAGCAGCAGGTTGCTGCTCCAAAGACACTGTGGCATTTCTTTCTGCCCTACTTCAGGAATTCAATAAATAAGGGAGACTCTTGAGTCCATCACAGTCTCACTCCTTTGGCAATTATTGGTTTTGAAACTGCAGATAACTTCAACAGTCACCAGTTTTTAATTCAAACCATTTTCTTTCATTACTTTTTTTTTTTTTTTTTTTTTTTTCTCCAGTTTTTGCTGCTCTAAACCATCTCAATCTTGCTATAAACACATCTTTAAAAATGCATCATGTTAGTTACTGTTGAGAAGGAAAAATTCTTAGGGTTGGTACCAAAACCTAATTTCTTCTCCGTTGACTAAGCTTTACTTATCACCAGCTTGAATTATCTGCAGGTGTTGGGAGGCAGCCAAATCTGCCCTGCCCAAAAATCTGCCCTGCCCCAGATCCTCAGCACCACCTAAAAGTGCTGCTGCAGGAGAAAGGTCTCCTTCTAAAATCCAATGCGTGAATGGAGTGGTCTAAACTGTCTTTAAAGGTCTTGGGTGCTCGAGGAGCACAGCGGTGTGCAGTGATGGGCAAAGCAGCAAACCTGTAAGTCTTTGTTGTCTGAGTGAATAACGTAACATCATTTTGTTTTCCTTCATACGCAGCAGAAATGCTTCCCTTGAACAACTGTAGGGGAAATTCATTAACAGTTATGTAGCCCTGAAAATGCAAAGAAATATTTACATATATTAGAAGCATGTCTTATTGGTAGATGAATTTTTCTTTGTTCAGACATATGACAATCCTTTCCAAATATTGTTTTTAGGTTATGCCCCATTCCCAATTCAATATAACATGTCTGTGAATTGGACTTTATATTTCTTTCTGCTTCATTTGCTGCTGTGGGCAATGAGATTGGTGTGTTTTCTGAATTTTTTATATTAAGTCTGTAATAAGGTGGCCTTCTTCAGGTTCTTTTTCTGACAATGATATTTGTCCTTACATTTCCAGTGTCCCAAAATGCTCATAGAGCCATACTGATACCATTTTGCTTTCTATTCTGTTCTGTATTTATACTCTTCTTTAGGGCACTATTATTCATGCTCACAGGTTTTAGTGTTACATTTTTGCTGACAACTCCCAAATCTGTCTTTCAGTACCTACTGACCCAGGGCTGGCTCTCCCTTTGCTGTGTGATTGTCTTTATGGTATTATGGTTTGGACTAGATGTCATCAAATCTCGCACTGAGTGTAGGCAGGAATGAATTGTAGCTCAAAGAGCTGTCTCAGTAGCACTCTGTATGTCTTATTCGTTGGTAGCTTAGATACCTGCTTGCAAAGACTTACTTGCTTTACTGTAAGATACATAATATAAATACATTATTATAATTATTAGTGTTTCATCATGGAGGTCTTAATAGCAATTATGTGTTACAGTAGACGGTGCATAATCATCCATAACAGGACCTTACAACATAATTCTTAAACTAGTCATGTTAGGCAAGTGGAATAGATCCACTGGATAAGGACACTGACCAGGCAGGTATCCCAGTAATATTTGCATTTGTATTCAAACAGGATGGACAGAATATTTCCTATCTTTAAACTTCGATAAAAGCTTCCTCTGCCTATTTAAGACAGTTGCACTGCTATTTAGTTGGTTTAAATCAAGACACCCTAATTACTTTCAGAAAAGCTCTGGAAGTTGACCTCTAGATTTCAGCATGGGATTTCAGGCTGTGACTCCAGCTCCAGTGCCTCATTTGTGAGGTGGAGAAAGGAACTGGGAACACCACCAGATCCCACACAGCTATTGTGGTCAGCAGACCTTGAAACACCAGATGACTTGGTAGCTTTGTATATAGCTTTGTATTGAAACTGGACTGAGCGCATGAAAGCTTAAAGGGAGATGTAAGTCATTAGTCACCCACTCACCAAATGAGGAGTCACAGGAAAAAAAAGAATAAGTCAAAGTTTTCATAACAAGGACTGCAGCGTAATGTGTATGTAACAGACCAAATAGTGAGAAGACACAAGTCTGGCCTTTCCTTTCTTTGGCATGCTGGGTTTTAAAACCTTAATCTTTTAGTGTGGATTTTTGGATGTAGTATGTAAGAAGTTGTCTTTCATGCTCAATGGAAGAGTAACTTTAATCTGTTGAGGAGATCAGCTCAATATAAAACCTTAAATAAGTTCTTTCAGGAAAACTTTCTGGGTTAAGCAGCTGAAGTTACGTGCACCAAAGGAGAGGTGGCATCTGCAAAGTCTGGCAGAAATACATGTAAAACCAGGAGCTCTGAGGGGAAATGTGACCTGAGATTAAAGAAAATTACAGACAGCTTAATGATATGAAAATAGATTTATATCATATGAAGCTCTGCCCAATATGCTTAAGATGCTTGACAATTAGTTGAAACTGTAAAGGGCCATGAAAGATTGCCTAGAGCATACAGGTCACTAGGATTTCATATTTTATGTAGAGGCAAGGTGGCTGGTTCTGTATGGCTGTGCACAGCCATTTAGAAAGCAACAGAGAAGTTTCATGAATGTCACTTTTAATTTTTTTTTTTTTTTGCTTTAAAAAAATCCACTCTTTTAGTTTGTAATGCTGCGGTGATTAAAACTAAGTTCTACTTTATGATTTCCTGTGTGGTTAAATTCTGAGTAGGTAATAGTTTTCTTTAAAATTTTAACTTTGTTTCAGTCTTTGCCCTTATCTTCTCTTCTACTGATCTGCCTCCTGTATCTCTGAAGCCTGTATTGTTCATGGAGAAACGTAATTCCTTATCTCATCACACTTCTATTGAGAGATCTCTGCTGACTTCACTGAAAAGAAAGGATTGATTTAATGCTTATACCCTTTGCTTGCATAGTAATTTGCTCTGTCTGGGCGTTCTCTTTGGTTTCCTAAGTCTGGGTTTTACATCCTGCTCCTTTGAAAAACAGATGTTACATTCCTATGCTTCATTTGTCTGATCTTTTAGGCATGTACTTCTCCCGAGCATACAAGTTTTCAGGATTCATTCAAGCACTAAAATCTTTGAACAGAGTTTGCAGAGCAGCTTCAAATACATCCCCTGTCTGAACAGCAATGACATAGAGAAATATTTATTATCCAAATGCTTATTCTTAAAATTATGAATATCTTTACTAGTAGTGATAACCTGATGGATAAAGGTACCTAAAGACTCAAAAGGTGAGAAGTTCAGGTGATTTTACATACTTATTCCGAGGAGGCCTTGAGGGGCAGATGTTGGACCTTGCAAGAATCATAGAATGGCTTGGGTTGGAAGGGACCTTAAAGATCATCCAGTTCCAATCCCCTGCCATGGGCAGGGATGCCACCCACTCGATCAGGTTGCCTGGGGCCTTGTCCAGCCTGGCCTTGGACACCTCCAGGGATGGGGCATCCACAGCTTCGCTGTGCCACATGTTCCAGTGCCTCACCACCCTCAGAGTGAAGAACTGTCCTTGTTATCCACATCAAAACCTGGAAGGGTTGATACGCGTAAGCAGATTGCAGGAAGGCAGGGGGAAGCCATTTAATAAAAAAGCCTACAGAATAGCTTTTATTTCACCAGTGACAGTGAATATCACTACCTGGAGGTGTCTCTGGGTGGACCAAAGGTCTCACTTCAAGGGGACACGGATCATTGGGAGGTTTTCTTGTCTGTTTCTGCAATAAGGAAATGTTACTGAATGTTCAGCCTTGCTGATGACATTATAATCCTTCTCACGTTCTTTGATTTTATCTTTGGATATGTTTTCATTTACTTTTTGTCTTCTGGCATGTTTGTTTAGTTTTCAATTTTCACTCTGTATTCCCTAACTAGATTTTTTAGAGACTATCTGTGGCTGCACATTGTTTACAAGGAAGATGTTGAGCAAGACTTTTGCCATCTTAACCTTCAGTTCTCGAATGTTCACTTGTATTGTTCCAGAGTTAGTTGCTTAATGAGACATCTTCAACCACACAAGTTTAGCTTTCATCCTTTAAAACTGAACATTGGCCTTCCCTGCAAAGCCACTGTAACTGAGCCAGTTCTGGTTGTTCTCAGTAGCTGGAGGAGCAGAAACCTCCCCAAATGGCAACAAAATGCACTGCTCTCTTCAACTTGGCCTAAATTAATTTACTGCTGTACTTAACACTTTACTTTCTCTGAAATAAGTTATAGCCCCCGGATCTTAACTCCTAATTAATTGATACTTTGCGATTACCAAAAACTGTAATAACACACTGAACATTTGGCTGCTGAGAATATTCTAAAACGAGTGCATGGTAATTGTTTGCAAGTCCATGGAATTTAATTAAACTGTGTTTAAAAGTCTTAGAAACTGATGACTGAGAATCAGCTAAATAAAATGTTTACAAATGGGCACATAAATATGCATATGAAGTTAGGAAGCAGGCTGTTTACAATGCTGGGCTCGTCTGTTTGCAAAGGCAACATCCAGTACAGCATGTCTCTGATAATTACATTTTGGCTTAATAAACACAAACGGGAAGGATGCTTATTTTTATTTTTAATTATGTTAATGCTTTCTTTTTTTGATGCATCTCACTCTAATATGGTGCACGGAGAGTTGTTTAGCTTTTATATTTTGGGGAAAAAATGTAGTTCCTTGATTTTCAGGGGAGTGTTAAGAGAGAATAAATTGTTGTCCTTTGTGTAAAATGTAGGACACGTTTCAAACCTCCTCTAACCCCGTGAGATCTCTGAAAGGCACACCGAGTTGGTTGTTCATCAGACAGATGTTTTACATTTACACAGCAGTTTTCATTCCAGAATAGCCATATTTGTGTCTGAATATACATGTATATATGTTGCTGTTATGGTCCCCCAATGCATCTTTTCCCTGGCTGTGCTTATATACACTTGACGGTATTGTAGCAGCATATGTGGACATCTAAAGCTAGTGTTTGTGTGCCTTCCTGACTGGTGTAGCTTTAGCACCAGTTCTCCAAGCCAGCCCTGGCTCCTGAACACCCACGGGTGCTGACCTGACCTGAACTCTGTGCTGCCGCAGTTCACAGATACAAGCTGTTGGCTGTTTGTGTTTACTGCAGTCTGATGTGGTAACTCATGCAGATGCACCTTTTGCCCAATTTAAGGATCTTCAGCTTAGTTATTTTGGTGTAGGTGAGGTAAGGGTCTGCATCAGGCCAAGGAAGGGTCTTTGATTTTCTTCTCCAATATTTCTTTTTGGCTACACATTTGAAAGAAATAGGGGGAGGTAAGGTTTTCCACATGCTTTTAGTAGTGTGTTTTTTGACAGTTTTTAAAAGCTTTGCTAAAAGAAAATAATAAAATAAAAGCAGGACATATTTATGGATTTATCCATGTACATTGATTGGCTTTCTGGGTTCAAATTAACTTTTTCAGAAATGTCACAAAACAGTCACAAACTAAATGCAGTTCTATTCTGAGTAGACATCTTTTGTTGCTTGGTTATATTTCATGAAATAAAGACATTTAAATCACTTATTTCAAGACAGATGTATTAAGAGAGAATTTTACAGTAAGAAAAATCAGTCTTCTGAAAAACTCATAATACTCTTCAGCAAAAGGAAATAAAAGGGAGTATGAGCTTCTTCCTGAAGAGTT